GGGTTTCACCAAGTTGGAGAGACTAGTCTTGAACTCCTGACCTCAGATGATCCACCCGCCTTGGCCTCCCAAAGTGCTGGGATTACAGGCGTGAGCCACCTCGCCCATCTCCAGTCTCCTTTTTCTGTTCTCCCTGTAAATCCTGGTTTTCCTCGGGTAAGGTTTTCTCTCCTCATGCTACACATGTTCCACGGATTCAGCTATTTCCTGCGTGCTGAGGGCTCCTGAATCTCGCTCCCACCTCTGGACTCTGATGTGTAGTGCCTCCTGATACCTTCACTTGACCCTGCCATACTTCCTTCCCGTCTTTCTGCACTCCCAGAGAGTGGCCAGGCCCAGGCTGGGGGATGCATCCTTGATTCTTCCCTCCCCCTTCCGTCTTACTTCCAGTCACCACATCCTGTCAATTCTATTTCCTCAATTATCCCCCTGTCAATCGTCCTTCCCCATCCCACTGACAACCCCTCAGCCTCTCTTGCTGGATTATTGTAGCGGACTCCTCTCTAATTTCCCTGCCTCCCAAATAGTCAGAGAATCGTGTTTTTTTTGTTTGTTTGTTTTGTTTGTTTGTTTGTTTTTTGAGATGGAGTCTCGCTCTGTCTGGAGGAGGAAGAGGAGGAGACTGGCCCGCTGGCTCATGCCTGTAATCCCAGCACTTTGGGAGGCCGAGGCGGGCGGATCAGGACGTTCGGGGTTCGAACCAGCCATAATCAACATGGAGAAACCCCATTTCTACTAAAAATACAAAATTAGCCGGGTGTGGTGGCGCATGCCTGTAATTTCAGCTACTCAGGAGCCTGAGGCAGGAGAATCGCTTGAATCTGGGAGGCGGAGGTTGTGGTTAGCAGAGATCGCGCCATTGCACTCCAGCCTGAGTAACAAGAGTGAAACTCCATCTCAACAACAACAAAAAACAAAACAAAACAAAAAAAGTTTAAGCACCAACCAGAAGAAGCTCCCACTGACCAAAACTGGGACAATTTGAACATCAAAAAGAATAACTGCAATGGATTGAAATACAC